CCCCCAGTCAAGAGGGAGCCCTCAGTTCCTCAGTTGACATGGCATGGTCTTGCATTGCTTCTGTAACCTGTGGCTCTCCTCACAGAGTGAGGTTAATGGTGTTCCTTTTTGCGCCGGCATCAGCAGTCGAATGGGAGAAAGCGATGTTGGCCTGGGAGGGAACGTGCAGTCAGTGTTCCTGAAGCAATGCATTACTGCAGACCCAAGAAAAATGGAGCAAAATTCTATCTCTTCTTGCAGGCAAAACAGAGGCCCCTGCTTCTGAACTCCTCAGTCATGCAAATGTTGTCAGAGTATGATCTGAGTTGTCTCCTTCCAGCCTTACCTTCTTTTGGCTGTGGAATGGAGAGCCATTTTCTGACTAGAAAGCAAAGCCATGGAGCAATAGGGTAGGCTTCCCCCAAGTTGTGATAGCAGGATCCTTTTTGGAGAAAACAAATGTCTGCAAGAAGTAAGGCATTTCATTTCAAGATCCCTCCCAATGATACCAAACACTTCTAGTTTTTGTTCTTGTAAACACAGGCTTCTAACATTAACATTTCGCACCTAGGAGATTTATGAGTACCAGTCAGGATGTGTCTGGCTGAAGATGAGAAAACATTAACATCCTATCTCCTCTCCTTGGAAATCGTTTACTTCAAAGAGTAGTAATCTGGAATCCTTTGATATACAATAGCAACTCTTTGCCTCAGGCTAGGTTTAAGGATATAAAAGATCCCCAAAATCTTAGGCACATTGAGTCTGGTTAGATTTCAAGGTAACACTATGCCACTGTGAACTCTGACTTGGGTCCCGACTCTTTCCGTTGTCCTTTCCTTTTCATAACGGTTGAGTTTATCTGTCTTCATTCATCCTTAGAGCAGCCTCCTTCAGGTAATTAGCACCATTAGAAAGCTTTCTGTTTCCTCTCCAAGCTAACTACTTTATTCCCAAGTTCTTGTGTGTATGAGTGAATTTTAGAGTGTCTTTGTATGTTTGAATCCCCAAATAAATCACAGTTCATTGGAAAGCTTTGTCTCTATCAGTCTTGAAGTCTTGAGCTTTAGAAATTCCCCAGGTTCAAGTCCTTCTTACAGGGATAATAGGCAATTTAAAAATAATACAAAGATGTCACTTTCGCAGAAAATCTTTACAGTTGGTGGATAAATCACCATTGCCACACCAACAACGATCTGTTGCTATGTGCCTTCAAGTTGTTTTTGACTTACAGTGACCCAAAGGTGAACTTATCACTGAGGTTTTCTAGGCAAGTTTGTTCAGAGGGGGTTTACCATCACCATCCTCTGAGACTGAGAGCATGTTATTTGCCTAAGGCTGTCCAGTGTTTTTTTATGGCTGAGCTGGGATTCAAACTCTGGTCTCCAGAGTCATAATCCGGCATGCAAACCATTACACCATGCTGGCTTACCATGGTAATCTTTTACGTGTTTGAATACCTGTCTTTCAATAAATGCTGATTCCTCTTGGAGGTCAGTTGTGTTTTCAGAACTTACAGATATACTAGGTCCCTGCCAGCTGGAGTCACTGCTGTGGCTGAGCCCAAATAAGTTAAAAAGTGTATGTGTCTGTGCCTTCACATCGCCTGTCAACATATGGTGATCCCATGAATTTCCTAGGGATTTCTTAGGCAAGGAATCCTCAGAGGTGTTTTGCCAATTCCTTCCTCTGAAGTATAGCCTACATCACCTGGCGATTTGTTGGTGGTCTCCATGTAAGTACTAACCATTGTTGACCCTGCTTAGCTGCCAAGATCAAACAGGATCTGGTGTGGAAAAATAGCATCATTAAAAAAATCACCTAGTGAGGACTTGAAGCATTCCTAGTGCTGTTATAGCAAAGATTCACAACTGCAACCTGAAACGTTCTCCACCCCTTAATTCTAGAGCAGCAGTAGTAAATTCTGTTGGGCAGAACAAGGCTTTCAAATCTTGTTTCTGACCACAAAGATTATTTATGAGCCGCCTTTTTCATGTAGGCCTACATTAACCACCAGTGTGCCACAAATGGCTTAAAAAGAGCATGTAAGGAACCAGCAGTAGGTGGGTATTGCCAGCCCAATTCTTGCAGGAGCCTGGAAAACATACATCTCCAACTCTGAGGGTGTAACATTGTCTTGTGGAAATTTGGCAAGTTTCTGAGTTACACACTATCATTTGGTAGGATAGAAACCTTGAAGCTATTTAGAGTACAATTGGCCCTCCGTTTTCGTGGGGGATCCGTTCCAGACCCACCCTACCACCACGAAAACAGACTCACCAATATTCAAGCCCCATAGGCTTGAATGGGGCACACCCCATTGATCTTAATGGAAGTCACCCCTCTGAATATTCAAAACCACGGATCTCAAGTCCATGAGAAGTGAGGGGTGACATACCCTTACTTTTCCCTTATCCAGGATTTCTATCCTGTTTAGTGGCAGAATCAGCACCTACTGTTGGAACCTTAACAGAATAACATAATCTAGAATAAGACGTCATCTAAATTTATCCTAAAGTTTGTTAAGATGCCTTGAAATTAGTATCATGAAAGATATAAATAATTGTTGTAAATAAATGAAGGTTTCTTTTTAAGAAATGTTTATTGGCTTTAAACATTTAATAGATAATCAAAATCATTATAATATACATTCAGTAAATACATTTAATACATTTAAAGAGTACCTTTGAAAATAAAAAGATATAAAGAAAAGAGGAAAAAAGAACATATAATGAAGAGATAATAGGGCTTTGATCTCCCGATCCTAACTAATGAAAAGAAATGAAAGGGTGGTGGTGGAATCTATTATTCTGTCATGATAGATTCAGTTGACTTAATCCTACAGTAAAGGAAGGTTTCTTACTATTTACATTTAGTACTAGACTCTTTAGTTCTTGGCTTAAGGAGTGTGTTGTTTTTGTATGCTGTTTACTAGTGCAATGATAATTACTTGCTTTTTCATTTAAAAGACAACCTAAAGCTACTTTCATAATATAAAAAATAATCAAATGCAAAATCAGGCAGTTAGAAGCAAGGCAATAAAGCAACATAATAAAAACAGCAATATTAAGGCATCATAGCAATACACTCATCCCTCCCAATTCGCGGGGGATCCGTTCCAGTCCCCCCCCCCACGCCCATGAGAAATACTGCATATATTGAAGTCCCATAGGATAATGGCCACATGTGCACCATTTTATCCCTTGGCGCTTGCCATCTGCAGAAGACTGAGGGGACATGAATGGCAAGTCTGCGAACTGTGAGGGACGAGTGTAATTTCTAAAAAGAAGATTTAAAAGCTCCAGATATGAACAGTTTTCATAAAGCCAGAGCACTACATATTGAAAAGTTAGCTTTAAAAAAAAAAATCCGTCCATTTCCAAAAAGGAAGAGGTGACCAGTTGGGAATCTATGGGATAGATGTCTAATAATTTACCACAGCCACCAAGAAGGCCCTGGCTCCCCTTATCCATGTACCTGATATAAGGACCAAATAGAGAGTGACAGGGTCTTCAGGACATATTTTAGAGGGAAGGCAAATTCATACAGAACATAGATGTTCATGGTACAGTCAGTCCACCATATCCACAAATTCTGCATCCACAGATTCAACCATCCATGATTTGAAAATATTTTTTTTAAAAAATAAATTCCAAAAGGCAAAGCTTGATTTTACCATTTTATATCAGGGACATCATTTTACTATGCCAATGTATACAAATGGGAGTTGAGCATCCACAGATTTTGATATCTAACAAAACCCCAGCGGATACCAAGGGCCTGCTGTACCTTTTGCTCATGCGGACTACAAACTTCATTCAGGATATGTCTCTCAAATGTATTTGGATCTGAGAGATTCAAGTACTTTCTCTTAAAAGTAAATTACTGGGAAGAAGAAAATATGGCCTGAGGAACATAGGAAGGACATGAGCTGGGGAGGATAATAGGTGCCATGAAGTCAGGCTGTGCTTGCTGTACTATAAGCCAGGAGGCAGGGAGATGAAGCAGGGATTCTACCGTCTTCACTTTATTCCTGAATAAGCAGAGAAACCCATGCCCAACTTCCCATCTCCTCCTCTGGGCCCCTGCATCCTTGCATATGCCCTCTTTTCCCAGCCCCCAACTTTCCTCAGGTGTGACAGCCAATTTCCAAACCCTTGGTGCTGACTTAACTACCCCTCCATGCGGGGCTTTTTTTTTCCCCTTTTCTTTTTCTCTTTCCTCCCTTTCCCCTTTTTTTCTTCCTGCCATTCCTTCCCTTTTTCTGTAGGGTTCAACTCAGCCCAAGGCCTTCAAAAGGAAGATATCTGTTGTATGTAAGTAAAAGAGATATTTATGCTTCTGCTAAGTTTTAATACTCCTCTGTCCTGAGCATGTTTAGGAAGGGAGGGGGTTATGTGCCCTAAATTGCCTTGTTATTGTTACGTGTTTCTTTAGGGACCTATCATGAGGTTTTCTTGGCAAGATTTGTTCAGAGAGGGGTTGGCTTTGTCCTCTGAGTCTAGAGAGAGTGACTTACTCAAGGTCACCCACTGGGTTTCTGTGGCCAAGCGGGGATTTAAACGATGGTCTCCCAGAGTTGTAGTCCAACACTCAAACCCCAATATACCACACTAAATCCCTCCCTTCCCGATATACATGGAATTTGGGGCAGGGGGCTGAGTAGCATTCTCTTTGCTCTTGAGATAGAGTGATGTTGCTACTCCCTCTTCAGGGATATAAAAAGGCCACAGTTAAGGAGTTGGGTCAGAACTTGAGCCAAGTGTAGGCCACAGAACTTTCAAAAGTTACTTCTGTGGCCAAAAAAAGTTGTTGTCTGTCCCCGTGACCCCCCCCCCCCCCAAAGATCTGGTACAGGCAACAAGTGAGGTATGGCTTAGCTGATTGAATATCTACCAAATCCTGTCCCCCTCTCTTACCTGGGTTTTGGGAGAAAGTGTTCCAAGCCAGATTCGAACTGCCAACATCTCTTTGCAAGATGAATTGCTTACAGTTTGATGAACTTGGAAGAGATTTTGCTTAACCTCCAATTTATGAACTGGGGTAGAGGCCAAGAGTAGGGACCTCCTCTCTTTCTTTGAGGCAGCCCCATATCTGTAAGACTGGTCTCAGTCCTGGGTCTGCTCTTGGTTGCAGCCTCATCTGTGGCCAAGAGCCCTGTGGCAACAAACAACGACACAGAGGGAAGCCAGCCAGGAGGCCGGAAACGGCGCTGGGGAGCTAGCACAGCTGCTACGCAGAAGAAGCCTTCCATCAGTATCACCACAGAGTCCCTCAAGGTAGTGGGGTGGGCTCTTAACAGTGGCGGGGGGAAAAGGGTAGATTTAGGCCATCATTGCTGCCTGACCCACAACCTCTGCTTTGTATCCCAGAGCCTGATCCCTGAGATCAAGCCACCACCAGGAGGGCAAGAAGCAGTGGTGGATCTCCACGCAGATGACTCACGCATCTCTGAAGATGAAGCTGAGCGCCACACAGAAGAGCCCCCCCATGAGAAAGCTCTCAAGATCTGCCGCACTGTTACACAGGTTGGTGTCTGTGTGTGTCATGGGTGAGGTTCTTAACGGGTTCAACAGCAAGCATAATTTAGCAGTAAGGTTTCAGAGCAAACCATACCTAAGTGTGAGAATGGGTTGTGGGCATTTAAATATTTGTATATCATCCTTTGTTCCATAGATTCTAGATACATGCCTACCTCAGTTAACAAAGGCTAATAACGATCCTTTTTACAGAGGACCTTCTTTATAAGGTTCTTCTTTACCACCACCTCCATTTTATTCCTTTGTCCTCTTGAGTAACTGGAAGGTTTTTAGCAGCAGCAACACTGGAAGGATAGTGAAATTTGTAATTATTGTGTACTTTCAAGTGATTTTTTACATATATCGACCCTAAGGTGAACCTGTCATGGGCTATCTAAACATCTTTTTTTGGGGTAAAGAAAGCTATTGCTGTCGTTTCCACATTATTTCTGGTTCTGGTACCAACTTTTCCATTACAGAAAAAATGTCCAGGAACTCATCTACTTTGTTAACCAGGGTATACCTATACATAGATTTTAGTTCCAACAACAGCAAATATACCATAAAGTAAAATATACAATAAAGCCACATAATTTTTACTAAAATATGGTACTACCTGAAAAATAGAGGCTCAAATTCGCAAATTAAAAGCTTGAGAAAATAAAAATGTCTTAAGTAGGCATGAAAAAGAATGTCATGTAGGAAGAGTGTTCTTTATGTAGGATGCCAACACTACAGAAGCTGTGTTCTCCCTTTTGCTTTGCCTTTTTTCTGGTTAGGATGATCTTGAACAGGGATAGGCAACCTGTCCCATTTAAAGGCCGAAGGACTTCAGCTCCCAGAATCCCAAACTATTGGCCAACATGGCTGAGGCTTCTGGGAGCTGAAGTCCTTCAGCCCTTAAAGGGG